CCGTACTCACCATGAAACTGTTTCTGTAGTACCACCGAAGTTAACTTTTGACGTTAAAATCTTGTCTCTCCATTATTAGATGCGCGCTCACACGAAAGCACTTCGTCTCCTTTCACTTCTTCATTGAAAGAGATTCTTCTGCTACAGCTGAAGAGAATTCCGATACGATTTTGTTAATTATGGTCAATTATTCAAGATGTTTAATCCACGATGACGTAATAAACATGCAATTCGAATGATGATCGGTGAAAATTGAGTAAAGCGACAATGTCAGCTTCGCGAAATGATGCAGGAGCAAACTAAAATCGTCATATGTACGCATGACTGCAAATATTGGCGATTGCGCAGATATCCGCAATTTCTGATAAATCAATAAAAACCTCATGCAACATGCAAATTTAAAAAACGTTTTAAAAGTTATCTTGAAATTTTCAGACGTCTTTCAAACTTACTTCCTAAAAATTATTTTTCTTTTGGAGCATGTGCAGCTATTAACGTTATCGACTGTAACATACTTATCGAGAAGTCCCAGACAACACGCATATAAAAAAAACGAGACATCTTTAAGGCACCTTAAAGACATTTTTTAAGATCTCTTAAAAATATCTTAGACATCTTTAAGATATTTTTAAGAGATCTTAAAATTTATTTAAAAATCAATATCTCAGAAACGTTGATTTGCAACATTGCGAACATTGTATACTACGTCTAATGAATACTCCATAGTATGAACTAAAAGAACTATAGAAACTTATAAAATAAAGATACATTTCTCTATTTTCAGTTGTCAGTACAAAATACAGTGGGACGCGGGAATGTTCGCATCTCCATGTACATTTGGGCTTTGAACACTATGCTATCAATAACGACTACGGATTTTCAAATTCTTCCGAATAAAAAAATTCTTATAAAACATTTAACAACATTTAAAAAATCTAAATTTTAATTAGACCGAAACCGAAAACTGAAAAATAGTAGTTTTCGGTCCGGTTACAATTTCGGTCGAATTTCCGATTTCGGTCCGACTAAAATAACAATTTCGGTCTGATCCGAAAAGAGATGATTGAAACTTATCTCTTTTTCTGCCTTTATAAGATCGATTTTATTGCTGACGACCACAATCGAAACTGCTTCTTTCGTGCTATGTATCTGGTCGCGAAGTGTTTTCACCTCGAGAAATGTGTTTGAATTTACGCCGTAAACTAAAATAAAGGCGCCAGCCAATTTGATATATATATATCGTAGGAAATTTATACCAGCCGGCCGTATCGAAGATATCGAGTATTAAATGAATTCCAGAAACGTCGAAATCCCTTTCATACGTTCTTCTCGACAGTCGGCTTTGGGGTGAAAGTATTATATAGGAACTGATTGATGATTGCAGACTTGCCGACTTTTGCTGCGCCTATCATCACAATTTTGAGCCGAACCGGACTTTCGGACGGCTTTCCACTATTACTGTTCGACTCCATTATTTTTTAATTTCTATAATAGTAGATATGTCGTTTTAATTAACTCATACCTTATTTGACATTTCAGGGAATTCAGCTTAGAAAAGAGGTATTATAATTAGGATAATAAGTTTAAGTGATCATATTGTCAACATTTCCTGTTATATTATTTAAAATGTATCTTTTTAAAGAGATATATTGCTATATTATGATCCCAGTAAACATCAATTAACAACAATATAATGTTAATGTTATAATTTCCCACTCAACAATATAAATGAAATATAACACATGTCATATGAAACGGACCTATTTAAACCTCGATGATTCGAACACGACTAGCGATTGTGCGTAACTGAATTGAACTGAACTAATGGCTGCATTCAGTAGAGAAAGCAGCTTTGCAACTGTTGTAAAATTCTTGAATATGATTGGTTTATACATTTAGATCCATTGAGGAACTAAGGACAAAACCAATCATATTAAAGAATTTTACAACAGTTGCAAAGCTGCTTTTTCTGCTGAACGCAGCCAATTACTAAGGGGCAACCACGCAACTAGTGGCTCAACCCCCCGCTCAGATGGCTTAGGTGATTGCAACGTTGTAAAACCGAGAGCACATAGAAAAATGTAAGGCTGTAAGACGTAAGCAGTAAGGAAATCATAAGATTGGATTCGCTACTGGTCTCTCTACCGTGATTGGCCAATTGGCTTACTGATTACGTCTTACGGCCTTACGTTTTTATATGTGCCATGGACTTAATGCGTCGTCTACAATGGCAGTATCAGTAATGAATGAGGCTGTAAGAGTAAGAAATTGACCAATCATAGTCGATTATTCTTCTTACATTCAACTGTAATTTCTTACCTCAGGGTCAATTTCTTACCCTTACAGCCTCATCCATTACTGATACTGCCATTGTAGACGACGCATAATGGAGCGTTTATATTGGCCGTAATCGTATGCCGTAAAGGAGCTTACAGACCAGAGCGGCGCAGCGGTGAGCGACGAGCGGTAGCCCAATGAGAGCCACGCTTTTGCGTGACATCATTAGTGAAGCATGGCTTTTATTGGGCTACCGCTCGCCGCTCACCGCTACGCCGCTCTGGTCTGTAGGCTCCTTAAGAATTGATTAATCATAATCAAGTATTCCCCTCTCATTCGATGGTAAGAAGGGAATACTCAAAGATGATTGGTCAATTTTTACAAATTACGGCATACGGTTACGGCCAATATCAACGCTTCCTTACGGTACAGTATTGAAGAGAGGCGGAACTTTGAAGAGTAGACAGAGTTAACTCACATTACGCAAGCGCACATTTTCCGTAGATATACACGGAGAGAATTTTTCCTTAGAGTTTATCCTGAAAATATGATAATCGTGGGACAATGTATTTACAAGAATTTTAATGTAAATTTCTCTCATTCATTAATAAAACAACAATAAAGTATAAAATAAGTTTGATCAATTTTATTGAAGTGCATAGTAAAAATCTTTAAAATATATTGTATTGTACTACAATTATCATATTTTTTGGATAAATTTGAAAACAAAATTCTTTCCGATGTATCTGTCTCTAACAACAAAATCAATTAAAAATATACCGGGTGTTTAAAAGATAAAATGTTTTTATCTTTTAAATAAAATTAGGTAAATTTTTATCGTAGAAACAAAGCATTTCAGAGAAAAACGTTTCATACAAAAATTTTGTGAGTTCGAGAGAAACGTAAGATGGTGTCATTATAGCTAGTTTGACCTTAATGGCATTATTAAGATCACAATAGGGTCACATAGAATTTTTTTGATTGCGGGACTCTCCATTTTTTATTACATAGTTTACCTCAAGAGAGCCTTTTAAAACATAATAAAATATTTATTCATTAAGTACTGTTTGAATTATAGGCTTAAAAGTTATAGTATCGTCAACATTAGGATTATGGCCTGCGCACAATACAAGAAATATTAGGAACAGGAATAAATATTATGATTTTAACATATCAGAAACTGATTACATCGAACACACGATTTCTGATAGGTTGAAATCTTAATATTTATTCCTATTTCTAATATTCCCTTCATTGTGGGCAGGCCCTTACTCTAGTCCGTGCAATCAACGGCTAAAATCTTTTGAATATTATTTAGAATTATAACTATGTCAGATCAAATATAACGACCAATTTTTAAATATAAATAATTTTTTAATTTAAATATAAATAAATAATCGAGCAATTTTTGGATTTTATAATAATACAGTAGTTTCTATATTTGATACGACATAAGTAACACAAATGCATAAATACTTTTCAGCTCACAGAGCTCTCTTCAGTTTGAATAATATAATTTATAAATCTTTTTCACGCTATTCCATGATTCCATTAAAGTTCAGATTCTGATGTTTGTCCTCTTTTTCGATTGTAAGAGTTTTTTGATACACCATGTCCAGTGATAAAATTTCATACTAAAATTTCAAATTCTTTAAATTTTTTCCTAGATAGCACACAATATTTATAAAATATTTACAAAATATTTATAAGATTTATTTTAAACTATTTTGTAAATATTTTTATGGTTTTAGATTACACAGATCATAAACATTTATTATAAATATTATGAAATATTTATTCTGAACGTTGTAGTAAATGTTCTGAATATACGTGGGCAACTTGAAAAGTTTCTTAAGTTTCGGAAAGAAAACAACATTTTTTCGGAAAAATTTCATTTTATTTTTCAATATAATTCAATACACTTTGTCCAGCGGTGCTCCAATTTCTTCAAGCCGTCCAAAAAGTACGATGGCTGAAACTTTGCAAAACGCGCGCTATCTCTGTGTGACTTAAGAAACTTTTCAAGTTGCCCATGTACTTAATGAAACATTATAATCCAAGTAAAAAATACTTATTAGAAATATTTATTTATATTTATCATAAATACCATATAAAATATTTAGTTTATGTTTTAATAATATTTCGAATAAAGCTTTATATAAAATATGTATGAAATATCTATATAACATTTTAAAAAATGATTAATAAATATTTATCATAAATATTCTATACTGTCAGGGTTTATGTAACGATCTCTTCGTTTAACGGCGAGATTCTCGTTAAGTCATAACTAGTCATAAGTATTCCAATATAGTCAAAAAAGTGAGTAATTCATGATGTATGTGTCAACCATAGACATGAGGTTTGTTCGCGTCGCAAGCTCCAACATGCTCCGACGTGCTCCTACCATAGCTCCTACTCACTCTATCAAGCGCGTTGGAATGAGTAAAAGCTATGGTAGAAGCAATTGGAATGTGCGACGCGAACAAACCTTATATCTATGGTTGATACATACACCATGAATTACTCACTTTTTTGTGTAAATTATACATATGTGAAACGAAAATGAACTAAAGTTTTTACATATAAACATTACCTGTTACGTATTATACGTGTAATAATATTTATTTAATATTTCAATATTCTTTTCTCTTTGAGATGCGTAACTATGAAAAAAAAATCTGCTAATTTACTTATAAATAATTATTACTAAATCCGTTTATAGAACTGATGTTTTAATAACTTAACATGTTTCATAAAATAAAAAATTACGAAATTAGGCGTGGTTCAATCATTTGTGAAAAATTAAATATAAGTGTATCTTCATTCGGATGACTTTCAGATTCGATTTCGAAGGGAGAAAACTTCTCAAATGGCACTTCCGGAATTTCCTCTTTACCATCTGCGAACAATAAGAAATTTCTTTTCAAATATATAGTTAAAAATATACACAATGGTCGGTATTTGTAAGTCTGTATTTATTTATGTGGTTGAATTAATGTACTTTTGGAACTTAAAGTGAGATAGATAAATGTTTGATATTTAACGAAAGGTGAGGAGTTCTAATGTAGTCTAGTACAGAAAAAAATAGTTGATTTTTATATTTAAGACCGTCTACAGAGCCGTATTAGCATCTTAAGATATTACTCGAAACGATCTTAGAATAAGAACAGACTATGAATACCAGCTAATGTTACCTACGGAGTATCCGAAGAGTATAAGTTCTTGACTGTACGCAAGCCACTACTTCCGCCAAAATAGAATTAGACACCTGAGGCGTGTAATCTGTACCAATTTTTAATGTCTGAAATTTAATATTGTTTAGGAAAAATATAGTTAATTTTAAAATATAATATGAGATACATACTTTGAAGGCAATAATGTCATTAACCTGCGGTTTTCTAGTCATTATTGGAACCTTTTCTAGATCAGCATACAAATTTTTATAACTTTGTATTTCCTTCTTAGATTCTTTATTACATGAAATTTTTTCTGTACTATCTTCCACCATAATTTCGTTTAAATTTTTGCTTCTTATCTCATCGTTTAATATATTTTTCGTTTCAATTTCGTTTTTTAATTTTTTATTTATGAAAGTTATTGGCGTTGAGCTTTGTCCTAATGTTAAAAGCATAGAAAGATCTCTAGAAGACGATGTTTCATTTAAGTAAGATTGATTTCTAGATGCTTCTTGTACTATTTGTCTTGCAATATTATGTTCATTATTTTCTATATCATTAAATCGTATATGTTTTCCTGATGGAATAATATAGGAATCTATTATTTTTGGTTTCTTTAATTTTGGTTCTTTTGATGTATTTTCTTCAATTCTATCAGAGGGCGATACAATAAACCGAGATCGATTTTTTGATTTTCGTTTTCGCACTCTTTTCCTTTTTGCAATGGATACAATCGAATCTATTACGTTACAATCCTCTGTTAAATTATCTGTAGTTTTAGAATCTGTATCTCCTTCACTATAATTGACTATTGTATCACTGATTACACTATAGAATGTCATATCTTTTGTGGTATTATCTGAAATGAAAATGATTAATTATAAAACAAAAATTTCATTTTTCTTGATTTATTTTTACATAGTACAGCATAAATAAAAATTAACTTATTGAAGTTGGTTGCATATTATTCAAGGTATTGCTAAATGTATTTTGTGCAACCATTTCCTGTTTTCCTGTTTTAATATTTGTAGCCTGCTTATCATATATAGAAACATGGCTAGTTTCTACAACAGCTAGAGCTTCAGTATTTATTCCAGATCCAGGAACTACTCTGTAATTTATCAGATCATTAATAAAACTACATATACCTATATTATTTATATATTATAATAAATTTTATTTATATTAATGTTTATTAAAAATAAATCATAACCCCATGTGGACAGTGGGGTGAGTGGACAGAGAGTAGCACTTTGGTTCAGGTTATGATTTATTTTTAATAAACATATAGATAGTATAAAATTTATTATAATATACAGGGTGCTTAGAAAATAATGAAAAATCTTTCGAATAGGGGCATAATGGACTAAACTGAGAAAAAAATTTACCATTTTACAATTTTCGTAATAGTTAACAAG